TTTTCCGTTATTGTATTACAATTCTCAACATAAAATATGATTTTTCTCTTATTTTTGATCATCTTCACTTTTAATTTTTACCAACTGGCTTATGCTTTGTTCAAATATAGCTGCTAGTTTATTCCCAATATTACTGTTAATATATCAATTCATTCTATCCTTTCATTTGTCATCCAGTTTATCTTATTTTTTATCTTATATCATATTTTTATTGCTAATTTTACCACTACAATTTATCTTTCCCTTATTGCCGTTAATTTGAATTTTTTCTCTTACCTTACACTTTTTTTCATCCGCTATCTATTAACAAAGATATTGTCTTCTACAGCAGCGTAAAAAATGACATATAAAAGATAAAACTTTGATAAAGTCATCTTAAATCACTGTTTTTGAGTAGTAAACCGTAAAAATTTCAATTATTCAGAAAATAAAAACCATTGAAATATTCAACTACCTACCAATTACACCAGTACGATAAAGCGCAGCTGCATTATAACCACCACAAAACAAGCTATCATCATCACAGTGATACTGTTCGCATGATATATCCGGAAGTGAAACGGCATTTGTCAATGTCTCACCACAGAAACATTCTTCACGATATTCAATAGCTGAACAATAAAATAATTTCATGATTTTTACAGATAAATCCTAATCCATTCAGGTAAGGTGTATAAATGGATGATTTCAATTCGATAGGCAGTATTATAGATCTCTCATGCAAAAAATTTTATACTATCTTAAAAAAAAGAAAAGAACAACGACAACAATGTTCGCATAAATAGACCATCTGAAAAGTTGCGATCATTTAAATGAAACTAAACGCTAACCTGCAAAACTATAACCTGCTCGAAGGCACATATTTACACAGTATGATGGTGAATTATTTTTAAACATATAAAAATGTCCATTAAGAAGACGAGAATTCGGTGAATCTTTAAAACAGCCCACATAACGACCACGTAATTTATCATCTAAAATAACCACGTTTCATGTTATAATTTTAAAAACAGTCATAAATTAAAATTCATTGTGATCGCTTTATTTTAATAAATTTGAGCAAATAATGTCTCAAATCAAACAAAAAGATATTTTCTGGTAATATGAAAAATATAGCTAATAGGCTAACTGTTCATGATAAAATTTCACACAGTCAGTTTCCCCAGATAATTACTTGAGTAAATAGATTTTTTCGAGCTTGAGGCATTCATAAATAGACCAAGAAATGAACACGTTTCAAATTCGCGAAAATTTCTATCATTCTAAATTTTTAATGTCCGCAATTTTCATTTATTTTGCTTATTTCATTCTTAATTGTGAATTATTTTTGAGTTAGATTAGTGTTTAATCTAACCGTATTTTGGGCATGTATTCGGAAGTGAATCAGGTATCAGCTGATTAATATGACAAACGATATCACGAGCTTTTGCGCGACATTCCTCCGTTTTCATTCTGGATAAAGCATTTACTGTCAATGGTCCAGAGAGAAGTTCACAAGATGAAAACCTATCGACAATAATCTGCGACTGATATACTCCCTCATTATCAACCCAACTGGGATCCTCAAATAAAATTTAAATACAGGAATTTATTAAAAATTATTCTGAAAATTTATTAATAGACTATATTTCAACACGAATATTTCAGTCTACAATTCATTTATTCTCTTCGACTATTTAAAATTTCAATTTTAATTTCAGGATCCAATCAA